GCCGTGACGCCAGGGCCGCCGCTGCCTCGCCTCGCCTCGCCCCTCCCGGGTTCCGACGAGGTTTTGCCGAGACAATTCAGTTTCCGCGTTGGCGGTGCGGGTTTGATGCCTTGGCGCTCGGCCCCGGGCAGGCTCGCCCCTCACAACGCTCTCCTCCTGAAAACTGCAGGAGCGTCTGCGTGAATCGGGGTTTCAGGGCAATGGCTCGGTCCGACTTAAAATTCGGATTTCACAGGTCCCCTTCCTTTTGGACAGGACAGTTTTGCTTTGTTTGCTTTATCTCTTATGACTCCCTAGAAATGAAAATGAGTGGAGCGTGAAGTGGCTTTCCACGTAGCTTACTCTGGAGCTCTAATTCAAGCAGCTGGAGCTAATACCTGAATTTTCCAAGGCACAGAATACAATATTTGAATCTGGTTTTTCCTGGGGTTATCTCCCCCAGCAAGAATATTCACCAGGTATTTATAAGCAGTGTACCCTCTGCACGCCTGAGGCTGTTCTTACTCCCTTTAAACTAAACCCTAATTCAGTTGTCATGGGGTTGGCTGTTGTTTAGATGCTAACAGAAGCTGTTTTGATTATTTGATACTTACTGAAGAGCTTATTTTGCACCTTTTAGCTCAAATCTATAAGTATTTTTGCTGTTTTATGTTCACACTGCCTTTTCCCTACTGAATTTAGACAGCACCATTTGCTTTATGCTTTCCCATCCATCCATCCATGTGTCCCAGAAATGTCCTCATACAGTTGTACTTGCTAACGAGTTATGGGCTTTACATTTGCCTTTGGCCCTTTAAATAGCTAAAAGTTTTTGTGATGTTTGGTTTGCCTTCCTCATCTTCTCTCCCCAGATTACTTTCATGGGAAGAAGGAAAAGGCCTCTTCTGTCCGAACTGGCCATTGAGGACCACTTCTCTTGTTAATGTTTTCCTGCAAGGGCTCCTGGGCCGCCGCTGTTATTTGCACAGACGGAATGCATCAGTCTGAAAAGAACAAAAGGCTGATGGGTTTTTTTTTTGTTGTTGTTGGAGTTGGATCAAAGTGCGGAGGATTTTTTGTTTATTTGTATGTGTTTTTGGTTTTTTGTTGCTTTTGCAAGCCGGAGTGAGAATTCCAGATGGTTCCACTTTAATAAGTGGATTTAATAAATAGAGAAGCAGGCACCTTATCACCCTTTGCCCAAGGGACAGGGCTTGGGAATTCCTGAGCTGCTCGTTTGTCAGCCTCGTTATCCTTTGATTAGGGAGGCTTTGCGTGGGCAGCAGGCTGGCTGGTCCAAGCGTGGAGGTAGAGGTCGCAAGAAGCTGCGGGTATCCAGGGCTTTAGCCAAAAGCTGCGCTGGCCTCTTGCCTGGAGTTACCTCACCTTCTTGCACACCCGTTCTGACACATACGGCCCTCCCTTCTGCCTGAGGACCGAGAATACCAATTTTCAGAGCGCTCACAGCCTGACGTCCTGTTTCATGGTAGATGGGGGCCAAATGGTGCCTGCCGTTTCAGAGCTGAACTTAGTCAGGAGAGGCGTGCTGGTACTTTAGCAGCCATGTGTCATGTCTCTTGCTGATGAACGGGAAATCGAGCCACTTCTGTTTTGTGCACAGAAAGCTGGAACCAGTGTTGTCTCTGAGGGCAGTATATTTGAGGGGGACGAGGATTCCTTTAGCAGACTCGTGAAAGCCCGTCTTCCCAAAAGCATGACGCATCACTCCCTCCTGGGTGAGTTCACAAGGAGGTCCTGCCCGACAGCCTGCCTCCTGCGAGCGCCCTCAAGTCCTCAGCAGCCAGGTGAGCCTGCTGCGAGTGAGGTGCTCCTTAGTGATCCCTGGGACTCCAGCAGTCTCGTCAGTTTAAAATCAGCTGATTTTAGTGAATCTTCTGCATAATTAGTCAAATCTTTCACTTGGATGTAGTTGAATACAGAGTGGTTCAGATAATCTTACCACTGCTTTGTGCAGAATATCCCTTTTTTAACAGCTGCAAAACATAGGTAATCACTAGTGTAAGTGGCACTTTGATGAAAGAGGTTGTGTTAGCAAGGCAGGGGGTACGCTTGTTTGCCTTTCATGATGGAAACAACTGCGCTGAGGCCTTGGATCTTCTGAGCATAAACGGATGGAAGGGAGTAGAGAGAGAATTTGCCACATACTCACTTGGTAGCTCAGCTTTTACTGGTGTGGTTCGTGGAGTAACGCTAGCAATGTATTTAGAAAGTGAAGTCTAAATTGGGTTACCACTATTTAATATTATGAAACTACAAGGTAGCTTGTATAAATCACAAATTTTAAGTCACCAGTACTTATATCTGTAATCATAATCCTCTAATTCTAATTGTACTGTGAGATGTCTGATTTGGTAGCGTTGGAAGTTATCTTACAGAATCATTATAACGCTGTTTGTGTTGACGCTTTTGCAACAGCAGCTTTGAGACTGTTCGAGTTAAGAAAACGGGGATGTGCACCGTATGTTAAAGACGGCAAGAGAGAGGGGTTCCCGTTGTACTTTTTTTTGTTACGAATTTTAATGAGAATGTATGACAGTCATTCAGGTTGCTAAATGAAGGATTATATAAAAATAAAAATGTTGTTAAAATTCATAGATATAGTGGGTCATCTTAATATCAGTACCTATATTTATGTGTTAAATGTTCCTATTTGAACACGAGCTATAAAATTAAGATGAGCTATAAAATTAAGATGAGCTAGTGGTTGCTGAACTGTGATTTCTTGTCTTTTCAGTCTCTTTTTACGTTCTGCCTGCTAGTCCCCCTTTTTGGAAGGTACGCTGCTGCCGCGTTTTTTAATGCAGCTTGTAACAATTGCTAGGGGTTTTTTGCTTCAGTTCAGAATGTCACCTCAAATTTTTATTGGATCAAACCTAAGAACAAATGCTTTTTTGAAATCATTTTAAAATGTAGACTGTGTACTATTTATAGCTTTGTAAAACGCCTCACTGCCTTTATATTAGTAACATAAAAGTTGAAGTTGGCCAAAACCTTGAAGAGGTGTGTATGTTTTGTAGGTAGAATAAGTTGCAGTGTTCTGTCAGGCTTTATAACTACCGCTGTTGCTGCCGTGCCCAACGTGGCTGGAGGGCTAAAGGTAAGATTTCTTGTGATGTCCCCGGCTCTTCTTGTTTTCCACCAAATTCACCCATTTGGAGATAACTGTAGATGGCATTTATATATAGACAGGAGGAGCAGGTGACCATCAACAGAAGGCAAGACTGACTTCACAATGAAAATTAAACTTTACAGGGCAAACAGAACAATATTGAAGAAAGGATTTCGATTTTTTTTTCTTTTCTAATACAGAATTCACTTAGGTACAAAATTTTCAAATAGAAATATTATTTTCAAGCTTATTGTGTTGCTGCTCTTAATTGAAAACTTAATCTGGAAAAAAAAAAAAAAAACCCCACCCCACAGATATAACCAGTCTACCTGAAACCATGGGGAAAAAAAAATCCACGTTGTGAGTTTCTGGTGGTTTGACTGTGACGTTTCATTCAGTACCTCTAAACCAACAAAGTTCATTCAGTATGTTCTTTGTCTCCAGTGTTACCAATTTTCGCATTAGTTTGTGGTACTGCTTTTGATACTTCCTCTCTCGACCGCATGGTACGTCCTGTGGCAGCCTGTGTTCTTTACCGCAAGCGCGCTCGGAGGGGCAGAGGGTGGGACTGATTTAGCAGCGCGGTGCGTTAGCGGCCGCGGCGCCGCTGACGGAAAGCCGAGAAGCAGGGAGCGTCCTATCTTGTAATCTCGTGGCGATAACCAGAAACCCGTGTTACTAGCGTGCTTCCCCAACTGATTGACTAACTTGGATGGAGAACGAGGAAGCCACCGAAGGCTAGGATGAGTCTTAACTAGAAGTATTAAATAATTAGTATTAGTAAATACTTAAATAGTAAAAATTAAATATTAATGAGTTGAGGATTAAAAAAATATGGTTATAGAAAATGAAATGAACATTAGATTGAGGCTACAATGCAAAGTTTTATTGCCTAGCTACATCTGTGCAGAAAAAAAGCCATATCCCATGTCAGCATAGTTATGATGGCACTAAAAAGAATCTTGTAAAACGGTGCTGGAAACTATCCAAGAGGTTCTGCGAGAAAGGTCTTTTGTTAGTACCTCTTCCATCGTTTGGAAGGGCAGTTTAGCTCCAAGCGCGGATGTCAGTTAAATCTCCATAGAGGAGTCTTGCCTGGTGTGGTTGTGCCAGTATAGAGTCTTTGCCTTTCTAGGGGTCAATGAGGTAAGTAAATAAGAGGAGTTTTTCTTCCTTATCTTTTGTTTAGCCCTCAACTTCCCACATAAACCTAAAATGTAACTTATAAAAATGAATGCAAGGTTAGACATGCTTGCTGTGTCAGATGCTAATGGTATGAGGTTGCTTCTATTCAAGTACGATAGCTTTAAATCTGAGTAAGGACAACTCTTTGTGGATCTGGTTTATAGACTGTCTAGCCAGAGAAGTCATAAAGATGCTGGAAATGGAGCTTTGCTCAGCTTTTGGGCTTTTAAACTAAGAACTTGATTTCACAAGCGGCCAACACGCTATAAACATTAATCTGATAAATTATACGTTAAAAAATGTAGGTAAATTCTTACCTGGGCAAGTAGTCTCAGGTTCATAGTAGTGTCTTCAGTGAGAGTCCCTGTATGAGTGAGGCGTGCAGAATTAGGCCTGTATGACCCAGCTTGCTGTGTATTCGGATTTGTCAAGCACTCAAGTTACTTGGTGTACTTAGATCCTGCAATATTTTATTTTGCTTTAAAAAAATAAAGCAAATTGAACCCAAACTGATAGCCCTCTTGAGCATTAACTCTTCGGTTGTAAAACCGGAGGAAATTCAGTAAGTTTAAGGATAGCGTGGTACAGCTGAGGGAGGGGGGAGCAGGG